TCATTGCATTGCATTGCATTGCATCATTTTAACCAAACTTGACCTTTTTCGAGAAAATTATAAATTTATGAATCTTTTAATTGCCAAAGTATAAAATTATGATACTGTTAAAATTTTAAACAAAATTAGCATTACACATATTTGCGGAACATATTTTTATTTATTTAACTGCAAATTATTTATGTATCATTGTAAAAAAACCGATTTGTTTAGATTAAAGTTAATGTATGAAATAATAAATGACATCATCCAGAAGTCTAATACATTTTTATAAAGCAAGTATAAATCATTTTTTCTGTCAAAGTTCTTAATTAGGAGCTCGATGCGGCAAATATTTTAAACAAGTGTTAGTGCGTATTTGCCGATACTAATTATTTACAGAGGAAGTTCTCCAAAACTAGACACATTTATGGGCGACATTACCTAGAAAGGCCACTTTCAGCTCGACAAACTTTATCCAGGTTTCCCATATGCTTATAGGATGTGGGATGTATGTTTTCTAGATTTCAAAAACATGGATGGCAGCAAAAATTCAATCCTGAAATAGAAGAATAAATATTAACACCTTGTAGAAGCAGTTTGTACCAAAAATATGCTGAATATTGTGCAAGTTGAAGCTTCTCATTGGACTGTGCAAATAATACAAACACTTCTACTCAATGACTTTCTACCTAAACGAAATTTTTGTGAATGACTTTTCTCCAAAGACAAAGAAATACAAATTTAATTTTTATCATTTTATCAGCACACACAATTTTGGAATTTTAGTTATTTTCACAACTAGTCAGATGAAAATTCTTATGCAAAAGTTATTTTCTCCCAAAAGTGAGTGCACTTTTCTTTAAGAACATTGTAGTATGTGGCTTAGCTTCAGTTTAGTGGAGAATGGTGCTAAACGTTCTAAGACAAAATTAAAAATTATTATTAAAATGTGTTTCCGGTTGCCTATGATGTGGTTTTAGAAGCAATAATCTGTGTATCAAATAGAATAGACCTTTTTAGTAGTGAAGTCACATATGCCAAATAATAGGCAACCCCATAGTGCATTGTCATGAAGAATTTCCCAATATTTTTACTAAATCAGATTTTGACCTTATGTACTTTGAACATAAGTGCCAAAAAAATAGCTTCTTTGTCATGACCTTAAATATCGCGATATTCTGGCAATATCAAAAATATTTAAGAAGTTTTAAATCCCACGTGACAAACTAATAGAATTATAGAATTTATAAATTTATAGAACAATATTAACTTTCATAGTAATTAATAAATTAAAATTATATATATATATATGTTACTGAGCATGCGGATTAAAGATAATTTCATGTAAGCGAAGTAGCCTCGCAACAGGATATCATCCTAGAAAAGTTTGGTTGTGGTTAAGAATACGTCTATAATAAACCACTGAAGAAAAAAACACTCGATAAACATACTGACACAGTACAACACCAAGAAAAACAATAAAAATACTTAGTAGAACTATTAAATGCCAAGGTTAAACAAATCAAGAGAAAATACGTTAATGATGACAGCGATAACATATCAACAGGATTTCACCTGCGTATGAGGCTATTCTTTCCGAGCATGAGCATTAGGAATAAAACGGCTAATGTTAAATACGAAACACGCGTTGGTTGTTCTTAAATACTTCCAAATCCTTGTAAAAATAAATTAATTTGAAGTTGTTCATTTTTATAGTATCTATGTAAATAGTACACAAGGGTCAGATTCGGTCTGTACAATTTTAACTATGACAATTTGTTGCAGGTTACCTAAATATGTGATGTCACATTAAAAGAGTCTATTTATTACAAATATATACAAGATAATTTTGGAGGAACATCTCAGACTAATTTCTTGTTTTAATCATTTATTTTTTTTAAATATTAATCGTAGAAAAACCACTGCTAAGCGCATTTGCTAATTTCCAACTGTTGAGAAAATATAAAACAGGATTTTTTTTCAACTTCAATAGGGAGCATTTTTGGAAAAAATGTTCATTTATTTTTAAAAGTACTATCACATACACTCCTCAAAGTCTGAAGTTAAATTTAATTGTATACTCGGGGTGACTATGATGTACTTTAAGGGTAGCCTTCTTGGATGGAAATAAATCAATTTCAGAAAAGTCATTTGATCAAGTTACCTTAGTACAATTTTGCTTCCTTAAAATGTTACAACCTGTAAATAATTTTCTTTTGTTCTGTTTTGTAGATATTTCGGTGAAATTTGTTACAGAGAGCTTTTGAGGCAGGGGAAGATGAAATAGGCTTAATTTTTATCTAAAGCATAAAAGTTGATAAAAATAACTGAAACAGTCTAATTTTGTTTGTAGAAATTTGGAAAAAACTTTATTTTAAGTACTATAAAAAAAGTATACTTGTCACATGTTGCTGGAATCACATAATTTCCAGAGAAAAATGGATTTCAGTTTCCTTCCATAGTTGTCAGTTACGAAGAGGTGAAGTAAATTTGTGTATTCATTAAACTCTATTTAGAATTTAGATCAATTTTTCTTTATGCAAAAGTCAACACTTACTGAGCTATAGGCTTTTATAGTCTATCTAAAAATTGTTGAGAGCTGAACAAAAGGATGTTACTATATCTAGATTCAAAATTTGCCATTTAGTTATAAAATGCGGTAATTTTATTAATAATTTTGTGCTTTAAGGGTAAAAAGCAAAACTAACTTTTACAATAAAAAGTTACATGAGGCAAGTTCGGTATTAACATCTAGACGCCCCAGATGTGTTTAGTTTTTTTCTAATTACAGGAGATGAAAAGACAAAGAGATATATCTAGAGCATCTAGATGTCAATACCGAACTTGCTTATGGTTAGTTTGTTCTTTTGTTTATTTTAATTGTTTTGTTATACAGGGTGTCTCAGTTTTAATCTTTCGGGAGCAGATAGTACAACGAAAAATAGTGGTACATTTGTCGTATAAACGTATTTGGAAATCTCAAAGTTTTCGAGATATAGGGTGCTATTAATTAAAAAAAAATTCATTTACTGCAAATATCTTCTGACATAATTGATGTATTTGAACTAAATTTGGTGAACGTTATATTGGGTCAAGTTTCTATAAAATGCTGTAATATCAAGATTTTTGCGCAACCAGTGGCGGAGATATGGGAAACTCATTAGACTATTTTATAAAAAAAAATAGTACGGTCCTGTGCAAAATAATAATTGATAAAATTTTTTTGAAAAGCATGCCAATGGGGATAAAAAAAATAGCTCTTACATTTTGTCGATATCTGCCTGTTTACTAGCGGTAAAAAATATTTAAAAAATCTAAAAAACATGGAAATTAATGATTCTCTTTTAGTTCTTGTAATAATCAAATAATGATATTATTGATTCGAAGGATGCTGTTTTATTTTTTATTTAAATTAGTTGAATCTAGCCGAAATATTTTTAACAGGAATTTAAAATCCATTAGCGCACAGTATCTGGCTAATTTGGAAGGAAAAAAGAAATCCAATTTTCCGTAAAACAGAGACAGATATCGACAAAATGTAAGAGGTATTTTTTGTTCCCATTATTATTTTGCACAGGACCGTACTATTTTTTTTATAAAATAATCGAATGAGTTTCCATATCGCCGCTGGTTGCGCAAAAGTCTTGATATTAAGTACAATATCTCACGGAAACTTGACCCAATACAATGTACACCAAATTTAGGTCAAATACCTCCATTATTTCAGAAGATCTTTGCAGTAAATGAATTTTTTTTAACTAATGACAAACACCCTGTATGTATCTCAAAAACGGTTGAGATTTCGAAATAAGTTAATATGACAAAGAATAGGATTAGTATTTATATGGATATGACCTTTAGAAACATGTATCATAAGTGTATAATACCGTTTTTTTCAAATTCCATTGTCCACTGAATTTAAAAAATTTTTTTTAGTAATTTTCATACCCCACTGCTACACATGCTAATATGACATCAAACAATGGTGCATATTAGTCACAGTGCATGCATACTTGGGAAATGCGGTATTTAAAGTAAAGGTTATTAAATAGCAATGTTCATTAAAAAGCAAATTTCCACACCACCTGCCGTGTACTGCTCTTTAAGATGTTTTATTTTTTACTATGTAATTTTTTTTTAATGGCAAAATTAATTATTTTGAACATAAATTAGTTTTATTTGCTATTAGTAACATATCCACGTATCAATATAATTTAATAAATCATGTAAAAAATTGTATTTTTTAAATGATAGAACAATAGAACGTTCAGTGCTTCGTCCACATGATTTAAAAAATATATGGTGACTTTAAAATAACAATTAAGCCATACAAGAGCAGTATGTTTTACTAAATTACTTTCCATTATCGCTCTCTAACAGTTGACTTTTAACAAATTAACAACTGGCAATGCTGACAGTGCATTGATACAACTTGACAGACTACTTCCTGATCTGGTTTAAATGGCATAAACAGGAATTAAAATACAGTTTGAAAAATGAATCTCGATTATTTATTTGATTTAAAAAAAAATTAATTGCATTCAAACGGTATTCAACTCTCGAGAATTTTTAGATGGATTATGCAGACTTTTGAATAGAAGTAGAAAATTGTTTAATATATCTACCGGTAATAAGATCAAATTTAGTTAGACTGGAATGCTTCTAAAAACTCAATTACCGTAACTGATAATAGCAGTGGAATATTGGAATCCATTTTTCTCTGGAACAACCCATTTTAGCATGCAAGAAGTTGTCTTACACTGAATAGAGAGAAGGTTTATACAACATTTAAATTTTTTTGTTTATCAAAAAAGATAATAGTTCAAAAAATAAAAAGAACTTTCGGGTATTCTTAGGAACTTCTGTATTTTAGATAAGAAATAAGCAAGCCTATGTCATCTTCTGCTACTCCAAAAATATTTAGATACCAAGTTCCATTGAAATTTGTTCAAACTGGACTTAAAGTATGAAACGTCACTTCCAGTTTCCATGTTTTGTTACTGACTTTTTTATTTTAGGTGAAAATTTAGGTTGTTTTGGAGGTAGTAAAAAGAAGAAAGAAGTACAAGTCACAGAAGCAAAAGATAATAATTTTGCTACAGGGAGCACGGTAGGAAATTCAAATGCAGCAGCCAGGGAACCAGTACGAGGTATGGAACTTTTATGGCAGCCGGAAGTTGTGCAATCTTATTTGGCTCTTTTACAAAGTTGTTCAAATCCAGAGACTTTAGAGGCAGCTGCAGGGGCTTTACAAAATTTGGCAGCCTGTTATTGGCAACCAAGTATAGAAATAAGGGCAGCGGTGCGTAAGGAAAAAGGGTTACCCATCTTGGTAGAATTATTACGAATGGAAGTAGACAGGGTGGTATGTGCAGTTGCTACTGCCCTTAGGAATTTAGCAATTGATCAGCGGAATAAAGAATTAATAGGAAAATACGCTATGCGAGATCTCGTCCAAAAATTACCTTCTGGGAATCCGCAACATGACCAGGGCACATCTGATGATACTATTGCAGCTGTTTTAGCAACGCTTAATGAGGTGATTAAAAAAAATGCAGAATTCTCACGTTCTCTTTTGGAAGCCGGAGGAGTGGAAAGATTGATGACGATTACAAGACAGAGACAGAAATATACACCTAGAGTTTTGAAATTTGCCGGACAAGTATTATTTACGATGTGGCAACATCAAGATCTTAGGGATGTATATAAAAAGCACGGTTGGAAAGAACAAGATTTTGTAACTAAGACTGTAGCAGCTCGTAATGCTGGTCCTAATTCGCCAAATAATGCCAATAGCACTCTAAACCGCCCTATGGCATCACAGAGTGGTACTAGATACGAAGATAGGACTATGAAACGTACAACTGCAGGTGGTAGAGGTGTAACTTCTGTCTTCCAAAGGGTAAGTTAACTGAGTAAAGCGTCTAATGGGTCCTCAAAGCTTTTAAACTTAATTCTATGTTATTAGATAAATATCACTAAAACAAAATAATTTTCCGAGTTTTACCCCCCCCCCCCCCAGTGACAACTCGCAAAGATGAAAGTGTTATACTTTGATAATGAAGCATCATTTTTCACTTAATAATTTGTAGGCCCACATAGAGAACTGCCGTGATGAAAAAAATTCAAATTAAAGTAGGTGTGAGGTGTCCTGAGATCTCGAAAAGGGTTGCATATATATTTGTAAAAATATGTTCATAATCAAATGCTAGATATTCTTATTTGTCACAAGATTTTCATATATCTTAACCTTTTCGGTGCAGCAAACGCATCTACCGTGACATACGCTGAATGGCAATATTTTTCGGCTTGCGGATATGTACATGTACAGCAGCTTGTGTCATTTCTGCAACTAATTCTAGTATTTTAACCATGTTTCTATTAAATAAAATAACCAAAATGTAAAAATTAATGACCTAACAACATGTAAAAATCAAATATTATATAATATTTATAATAATAATTATTATATTATTTTATATATTATAAAAAAGTGGGTATCTCAACTTTTTAACCTAACCTAAAAATATAAGTACGTAGATATAAAAAATGAGAAAAAGGAGGTTTATTTGATTTGGAATTGACGAACAAATATTTATAAAAAATTAATATAAGCTTATTAATATGAAGAAAATCCTCAAAAAAAATTATGACAAGTTTGGATACCTAAGAGACGAGATATTAATAAAATAATTTTTCACGATTTAATACAGTCTTATGAGAATGTAGATTTTTTTGGTCTTTCCACTTAGAGTTTTTACAGCAACTTGTATAAATAGGAAACCGATATCTAAGGAACCATATGACAGCTCGTAGAAATCGATTAGGTATTTGTAAGATACATAATTTACGATAGTTCTCCTTCAAACTGCTATTGTTGATTAACTTAACGTCCATATGCGTGATAGCGGCAACGCCGCGGTTCTCGCCGTAGCGTATTATTTGAAATTCGCAGGTGTGACATATGGTGTATATTTCAAGCTTAGGCATCCAAACAAAGCCTGCCAAGTGCAACGTTGCCAAATCTAAAGGCTTACTACTTTAGTCACTAGTGAATGTACAGAAATTCTTGTTAGACTTTTAGACGTACCTCCGTACCCGATAAACCTCCTTAAGTAATATTTTTTTGTATGATGTCCAAAACAGATAATAAAGATACATTACATATATCACACATATATGTACCTTGACTCTGATTGTTTTCCATGTTTTGAACAAATAACACATCGCTTTGTAGACGTCTTCTTAGAAGTTGAAGGAACAAATTTTGGAAAATATTCTTCGCGTTAGTCGTTGCACCAGTGTAAATAATAAAGTCAAGGACGTATCCCGTGTCACAGTCGCACAGTAACAAGATTTTGATGCCGAAACGATGTCTTTTTGAGGGTATATATTGCTTTAGATTCTGTTGGAGGGTCGTTGTTCGTTGTCACTAAAATGTAATTTTAGTATTAGTAAAAATCGATCCCTTTTCATAAATCTGCTAAATACTAGAGTTGCAACAAATTCATCAGTTGACGAATAAGAATTTAATTTTTGTTTTTATATATGACTCATCAGTAGTAAGTAATATTGCCAAAAAACAATATAATTCTTTCATTTCTAAAAGCTTCCAATTTTTAAACTGAGTTTTCGGGTCAATCTACATACTTTGTTTATGAAATGAAAATATTTACTTCCATAATATCTGCATTGAAGTAGAATTCAAAATATTCAAAGCCTCATTATTAAAAGTTATTTCAATTTTGCAGCCAGAATTTGAATTATCAATGTTAGGTTCAAATTCTTTTGTTGCTCAAATAAAGTCCTGAGGAGGAATATTAATCCTGATTTCTTACCTGTGTACTGTGTTCCATATCCTCATAACTCAGTGTCGTTTTGTTTCATCATTTCTTGAAATAAAATTTATAATATCCTCTATTTTCGTTAATCAAGTCTTCATTACTTTCATCAAGCCATCCATTATTTTCTTCATTCTCCAATAGAACTCCTTTCTCTTCATCACTCTGTTAATATCAGCTAATTTCTTGTCTGTTAAATATTTAGAAGGAACATGTTAATTTTCTTCTTTATATAACAAACACACTCACAAAATCACATCAACTATTAACCTAATTACTCGGCTACTAGGTTAGAATTTTATACAGGTGCTAAATTGTTTAATCTTGTATTTACTAGATAACGCGAATTTATCAGAACGTCAGAACGTATTTTAATTTACATGGCGAATATATACGTCTACCACTGTCTACAGCAGTTAACTCATTCGCGCACATATACGTTTATATCATGAAATGGTTAAAGTGACAACATTTTGATGATAGAAAAATTAAAATTTAAATAAAATTCAAGGTACATATTGGCTACATGTTTTTAGGTAAAGTGCAAAAGTACATATTTTTTAAAATGTAAATTTTTCTGAAACCGATTCTGTGCAATCGGTTGTGTTATTGCGTCGATAGGCTATTCTCGGGAACCTCGGCCGTATTTCGTCTATTATAGTACGGTTACGCTTTTGCAAATTTCTTTATTTCTTTCTTATTATTTCTTTCTTTATCTTTCTGTATAACATTTTTTAAATCAGAGAGAGAGAGAAACTCTCGTGTGTACAGGGTTACTCATATAACATTTTATCCCCCTTAACTTTTATATTTTTTGAGTTAGACAAAAATAGTTAAAATAAAAGTTGCAGGGAATCTTTCTATGAGTTTAATGAGTTTATGAAAATAGAAATTATACAGGGCGTCCCAAAGATACGAACCAAACTTATGTTTTTTAAATGGAACTCCCTGTATTAGATTTTCAGAACCTCTGCTTCTTCCTGATTCCAACAATATATACAGGGTGTTTTTGAATGGAGTAGCATAAATGATACCAGTGAATCTACATTTCAAAAGAACACGATCTGCAAAAAATTGCCTTAGTAAAATGTTCACCCCTGAAGAGATATGGGCCATCAAAGTTTCCAAAAAAATTATGTAAATTGGCTGTAATTTGAAAACCGAACGAGGTACAAATAACAAAATTTTTTAAAGGTTTTTTACTAATACAGATACGAGTTTTCAACTATTTTTCGAAAATTTTAACCCCTCGAAAGGGGTTGAAATAACCACCCCTCAAGCCATTTTTTGCCATAACTTTTATATTTCGTAAAAACTCGATATCCAAAAATACGCATTAGATAAACTGGTTCTTTTAGAAACTTTTACCTCACTAGAAATTTTCCTTTAAAACTTTTCGTTTATTAATAAAAAAATAAAATGTATTACCATTCACCTCACACCGTATATGATTGCAATCAATCAAAGAAAAACTAAGTGTGCTGCTGTCATGCCAGTTGTCACAATTAACTCTTCTGTAAGTTGTCACTGTTATCAGGTAAATAGTTTTTGGGTGTAAATTAACAAAAACTGTAGGTCAAAAGTTAAGACTTTTAGGACATATGTTTATATGAAGTTTTTTTTCTTAAAATGGACCCAAGAATAGCCTCCTTAAATATTAGCACGTTATTAAGAAACACCCTGTATATTGTTGGATTCGGGAAGAGGCAGAGATTCCGAAAATCGAGGGTATTTCATTAAAAAAAAAAAACAAGTTTGGTTCGTATCTTTGGAACATCCTGTATAATTTCTATTTTCATAAACTCCTTAAACTCGTAGAAAGATTCCCTACAACTTTTATATTAACTATTTTTGTCTGATTCAAAAAATAAAAAAGTTAAGGGGGGTAAAATGTTATATGAATAACCTTGTACATCGTCGAATTTCAAATCTTACTAGAAAGGTGAGCAAACTCAGCTGACGCGGAATTGACCTTTCTCTCGGCCCTTCGACCCTAGAGCCGCACTGCGCACGTCATGAGCACCACGCCGGTTGGGTAAATATAACATTTTTTGAAACACCCTGTATATAAAAGTCATCAACATTCTGAGTTCATAATTATCTCTGGACCGTTCAAAGTTCAACGCAATATTTTTAGCCATCCTGTGTATAAATCCTATTTGAAAAGTTATATATTTTTCTTATGGATAGATTTAAAAAGGAATCTCCATAATGAAAGTAAAATACGTCAAGAAATAAAAAAAATTCTTGGGGGTCCCGTGCCGAGATCCGAACCGTCGACCTCGGAATTGCAACGCGACAGTTTTACCGCTGAACCATTATCGCCTCTAGACGCAGTTTTTCCGTATTGGTATTTAAATTCCCGTTCATAGCCGAAGTAAACAAAAATTTTCGTAATGCTAAAAATTGCATTTTTCTGCCGTAAAATCGTCCGCGAATAACTCAGTACGGTATAAAACATAAAAATAATCGCCCATCGCCGTACTGGAGCCGAGGGAAACATCGGAATCGGACAATTCTGACGTTTCTACCGCGGTGACGGTGACTGTGTGAAAATATTCTTAATCTCGTCTTATTTTTTTTTTAAATTACATTTGACCTAATAAAAGTTGAGGGCGACATAGATCAGAGAGAACGATGCGACACTAGAAAGGCGTCCCGGTAGCGTGTATAGGGGACGTTATCCGGTCGCGGAAGCGACCCGTACGCAAAGAGAAAAGTTCCGGCTCCCTCTCGGAACAAAGCGCGGGTGCCGGCAGTATTCATATAGAAAAATATGACGCCACTAAAATTGCGTTTTGGGCGAAATAATCCGGGTTTTACGAAAATATTTTCGGCGTTAAAATATAAAAAACACGCTGCAAAAATACGCCTAAGCTAGGAAGAAAGGACGAAACTCGTGTGTAAAAGCTGAGTGAACCCCCGATCGGCCCTCGGAAAGAAACCTTTACTGTAAAAAACCGCGCCGCGCGCGCCATTATTCTATGGCTAGAAATTGGCCTCAATGATTTGGGATCGAGGGGGATTATCCCTCTTTATCCTGCCTCATCTCGTGTAGGCC